CAAAATCAACTGTCTGCATAAATTATGATAATTACATGTGAACTTACGTTGTGATGTCATTCAAAATTGACGCCTTCAGTTACGATACGCGATACAGTTATTCTAATATTCTTGTCTTGTTTGGTAAATTATTTTATTGAAACAATACAATAAATGTAAATATAATCACCGGAGGCAAACTCCGGTGTCTTTCATTTGTCCTGTGTTTACAGCATGTAATTGTTGTTTTAATCAAACTTACGCCCAGCCTGAATAAACAGAGTCACTGTGAAAATCGAACATAGATCCAAGTCCCAGTCATGTTCAGTTTTGACAGGTTTTACTGTATTATATTCACTGAATAAGCCCTTCACGAAAAATAGAATCCAGTATATAAAATGTGTTTTTGTTTTTTTTAAATATTTTATTCCCAAATTTGATACAACTTCCACATGATTGTACAGGACTTAGTTGTTTTTGTTTTGACCACCTTGAATATTTCCTTATTTCTCTCTGTCTACATATAGTAACGTAACAAAACTACACAAATCTACAAATAATGCCTTATGTTGTGTTATTCTGCAACAAGCCCGTAAAGCAAGGTAGTTCGGCTACTGTGATTTACTTAATTTTCACAGAATAATTTGTTGGTATAAGTAATTAATTTTTGGCCGAATTACAACCTTTCAGTGAAAATAAGTTTCAAGCAATAATAAAACATTCTACATTATTTGGTAAAGAGAATGCTGGGAAGGTTCTTGTTATATTTGAGGGAACCAGAATGATTACACAACTCTACATGGTTTTGCCGGTATCAATCTTTGTTGCATTTCGCTGTTTACCCATATTGATTATATCTTCCCGTTCCTAGGTGTTGAAGGACGTTGTGGTATGGCAGCAGTCGTAGATAAACACCATACGCTAGATTTGGTGGCCTTAGCCAATAACTTGAAAAAACAACTTCCAAGCTATGCAAGACCCTTATTTATAAGATTGGTGGAAAGCGTTGATACTACAGGTAAGTGAGCAAATGGTTGCACCCCACAATACCATACTTGCTCTATCATAAGCCCCTCCCTGAGTATAAGCCCACTCGTGTAAAATCATGATAGGTACTGTAACAGTTGTTTAGTTCGTGCTTTTATGAGCAAATTTCAGAGTGCATGGTGGGCAAACATATGCACATTGTTCGCACCCTTTCCATTCTGTTATTTCTTTGAGTAGTAGCTTTCGAAACACCAAAAATGGAGTCGTCAAGTCTTAAAACCTGGTCATAGGACTTCGTGTTTTTTTTCCATTGAGACTATCGTGAATAGGGTGTGAACGAGCAAACTATTCCTTGACGTGACCTGTTGGCGACTGTGAAAGGTGTTTAAATACTTCCTCAACAATCAGTTTACCTTCCGAAAATTGCGATTTAACAAAGAAAAAAAATCACCATTTTTTGTTGAAATCAGTGTTAACAAGTAGAATTTTAACATTGCGGTAATTTAGCATTGCATTGGAAAAATTACATCATCAATAATTGGGAAATTTTGTCAGCATTTTGATTTGTTAATGGAAGACGTGACCTGTTATGTCAAAGGACACTTTTTCAGGTTAAATTGTGCTGAAAATCATCATGGTGGATATTGCTTTGTATCACAGTCCCTCTATCACCGGTCTGGAAACGCTTAGTATTCTATTGTACTAACCCTCCTAATGGGCAAATAAATCGTTGACACCTTACGCCAAGTTATCCCGAAAATAAACTCCCATTGATGTAGACGTGCATATTGTTATCCCACTGGAAGTTACCATGACATTTAGCGATTTGGGTCATTGCGCATGCGTCATTACTAGCACACGGATCACAACATTACCATGTGGAAGGCTTGCGGCGATTTTGTCGAATTCGACGATCACAACATTGATTGGGATTTTGTTTTAAAAGACGTCATTGAGGAAGAAATCCATGAAGTGCATAAAGATAAACCATGTAGTTCAACCAGTGCCGAAAACATACCGGAGAAACCTTTTACGAGGCATGATTGCCACGCCCACACTCCTGTCAAAACTCCACAACTGCTGTCTGAACGTAAACAAAAGTATTTCAATTGATTGTGTTGCCGATATACATAGTTGTTGCAATTAATATGCCTGAAAAACAAAATAAGCAGAAAAAAAAAATTACCGAAGTAAAATGTGTACAACATCGTACCTGGACCGGCCATTTTGTTTTTAACGAGGCCGTTTACTTCTTAAAATTAAGTGTCATTTTTTGAACGAACAATCATCAAAATCGTATATTCAACATGTGCTAAACGTATTTTAAATCTACCAAAAACACAAATGTTGTCATGTTGTCAAGAATGTACCGTTAATGAGAGGAACAGAAAAAACAATGTTTTCTTGCCACTACAAAGCTATGTCACCTTCTTTGTTTGTACGTTTGATTTCACATAAAATACATGATCTTGCAGTAAGCGGAAAATTGTCTTTTTTAATTTGTGAAAACTAAATAGCAGACTGACACATTTACAGAAATTACTCAACTAGAACATTTTTTCCAATTTTGCAAGTACTGTGGAATACTTTATTTTTGCTGGAATTAATTTTCGCTGAAAAGGCTTTTTGGGCGTTTGGCTTGGAATTTATTTTCACTGATTTTTCATGAGTTTAATGTGAAATATAGGAAAAAAGTATATTCGCTGGATTTTATTTTCACGGAATCATCCCTTCAGCGAAAATAGCGAAAATAAATTCCAAGCGAAAATAAAGTATTCTACAGTATCTGTGTAGGTAATGTTAGTAAAACAAGATATGGTTGAATCCAGTTCATCCAACTTTCAACTCCTGTTTATTATTTTATTTTAAATTATAGACAAAACATTTTTTTAGGTATTAATATAAGTCATTGTGAAAAAATACAAAACAGTTGATTTTTATAAGTGAAATAATCCATACACAGGCTGGACATGTTTTGTATTCATTCATCACAGCAATTTTTTAGACCAAGAGTTAAATAGAAATTAAAAATCAATCTTTAAAATTATTCCGTCTCCATGGGCTTGCGAGAAAGAAACCAGAATGTAAAACTGCCCTCTGGCAAACTAGAATGTGATTCTTTTGTTTTTTGCTGTTCATACTTTATTAAAATACCTTTAAAGCGGGGTAGTCGTCACCTGCGCTTGCGTCAGATAGCCATAGCGTATCATTGTTTACAAACAAGCGTCTACCCATGAGCCTTTGCATTTTTAGCGTGCGTTGTTATCATTGCTTGGGACTCAATTCTCGTGTGTACACAGGTGACGACCCTCTCGCTTTAATATACGTTGTGTGTGTAGTTCAAAATTCAAATTGTATGTAATTTGCGATGAGCGCCCTCTGGAGTTTTTACCCATTGACCCATATCTGAATTCAAATAACAATAGAAATTTGAATATATATTAAAATATCATGTTTTAAATCTGAAAAAATCAAAATAAAACAAACAGCCTTACAAATTCAATTTATTAACTATAAACATATCATACAAAAATATTTTTAATAATAAACACTGATTCACACTTGCATGATCTTTAAACTATGATTTAAATTAACCACACTGTAGGACAACATTTTTATTCAGGGATTTCCAGATTTTTGTCTAATCCAATATTGTCCTTTTTCTCTGATCCAGGTACATTTAAAATTAAGAAGACCGAGTTAAGAAAGGAATCATTTAATCCCAATGTTGTCAAAGATAAATTGTATTTCAGCAATTCAAAGACTGGAGAGTATCAACTCATTAATGCACAAGTGTACAGTGATATATGCAATGGCAAAGTTAGATTGTAAATACAATGTATGTTTTTCTTTACCATCAGTAAATTTCATATTTTGTTTTTTCAAAGAGCAATCCATTTTATATAAGCCAGTGAAACCCCGAAAATAAAAAAAGTTTGTGTTTTCCAAAATAACAGGTGCGCATTTTTTCTAAAATAGTCTTCAAATTTGTGCATTTATTTTGATTTTTTCCTAAATTTCTGATATCACATTTTTGGATGCTGCAGTGATCAGAAATGCATATATTTTTTTTCTAGGCCTTAAATAACAAATTTTATATCTTGAATTCCAGTTACCATTTGGGTATCCCATAATGCAATGCTGAATTGCATTCACTCTTAATGTATCCAAGCTTTCCTAGGGGTACTCAAATTTGCATAGCAAATGCCTTGGAACCTAACTGACTACTTTCTTTTTAGTGTCCTGCATGTCACTTGATCTATATATAATGTCACCTGACCTATACCTCAACCTTACACCCCTATATATAAATTTAGTATAACCCAAATTGTAATATATCAGATATATTATCATGTAGTAATACAGAGGGCTGGTGAGTATCAGGTTTTGTGAGAAGAAAGGGTTTCCGATTGGTCCTCGCATGCAAAAATCCTTCAAGTGGACATGCAGGTGTTTTCATGAATGCTTTTATCCCCATGTATTAGAATCTACAATAGAAGTGCACATAAACCAAAAAACAAAAAAATTGACTTTAGGAAAATTAAAAACAAAATGGTAATTAGGCCAAAAAAAAAATACTTATGTTGCCCTCAAGTCGAAAAATTGGGTCGGTCGGTCGGTCGGTCGGTTGGATATTTATTATTTTTTTTTTTTTTTTGTACTTGTGAAAACTAAAGGTGTCGTAAATAGCCGAGGTATATTGGAATCAATCAAACACATGCTAGATATTAAACACAAAAATGAAAGTGTTTCTTTCAGTCTTTTGTATTTAAATACAGATCAACCCAAGGTTCAAAGTCGCCACTTATCCCCCCGGGGACCCTGGGGATCAAACAACGTTCCGGGATTGTTAATTTTTAGAGGAAACACACTTTTACTGCTTAAAATGGTGATTTTTTAATATTTGGGCCTATTAAAAAAAAAAACGCGACCCGATATTTCATATTTTTCGGTCGGTCGCTGAGGGCAACAAAACAATTTTTTTTTTGGCCTTATTATCAGACAAATCTGCAAAAATATTGATAAAAGAGTAGTCACCTAAAATAGATATTGAAAAGGGGTAGGTGTAATTTTTTTGAATACTATATTTGCTATATTAGAAGTGTTTCTCTAATTCAAGTGCATGTATTGTGTGCTTTGTTAATATAGGACCAATTTTGACCTTGGACATGCCTGTCATTTAAGGTAGAAGCCTAGTCATAATTTTTGGCAAAATTGGTCATAAATCACATGACAATGTTAATTAGTTTATTATGTACAATCATGAAGCTAATGTCCCATGGTACAATGAAATAGCATTATTTTGTGTGTTACAGTTATGCTTTTTGAGAAACGTGTCATAATATTTCTTGAAAATTGCTCTTTTTAGAACAATTCCATAGAACACAATGCTAAAGAAAAAATGCATTTTTTGACACTTTAAAAACCTAGATTTTTTAAATAATTCAGAACAACAAAAAGTACTCCATCTTTAACAATATATGATTTTTCAGCCTATGTCACCAGGCTAGATTTTGAGATATTACATAATATCTCTGCCATAGGAACCTGTGGTAAAAGTGTTATAATAGTGTCAAAAATGGCCACTTTCCACTAAAATACAACCATCATTTTCTTTGGAAAAAAAAGCTGGTGACCCCCAATTTTTGTTTTAGGTCAATATCCTTGTATTGCCTTGGAGTACAGTTTATTGCAAAATGAATAAATTCTGGGTATTTTAATTTATGAGTAGACTTCTACCTTATTAAGTAAACACATAAACTATTACCGGGTAATTACTGTAAATGTATTTATTATTCCTTGGTTATTAATTTCTCTATTTTCAAAGATAAGTAAAATTCTGCTAAATTAAATTGTAAATTCATGTAAAATAACAATAGATCTCATTGTTTCCCTGCAAACACAGTGAAATTGCTCATCAAAATAGTGAAATTAAATGTCAGTGAAAATAAATGGATTTAACAATATAGGAATTACAGCGAGTTTTTAGCTGCACTGTCATTGAAGGCTGTCCAGTAGATCTATTTATATCATCAAGGTGATTGCCCATTGTCATGTGATTTGAAAACCACCAGCTCAGCTGCTCTATCAGATTTGATCATTTTCTGAGGAGATCATTAATTATCTTCAATGAATCAGCTCATCTTCAGTGAGTGTTTTTCTACAGAAAATGTTGTGAAATTTCAAATGTTGTGATCAAAAACTAGAAACAATGTCACATTTTGTCTGTTTGGTTCAAAATTAAGAATAAATTCACTGAAAATGACAGAAACTGTGAACAAATTTACTGAAATTTGAGCAGAAAAACAATTTGGCTCTCAAAGGGTTAACCCTTAAAAACTCTAGGAGGGAGGTGATAGGTAAACTGCAAATTATTTTTTCTATCACTTAGTTTCGAACTAAGATGTTAGGGTAAAATTTGTTTATTCAACATTCTCGATGCAAGATTAGTATTTATTGATAATATTATTTTGTTTCATTGGTGTATTATAGTGTATAAGATTAAATAAAAGCAGACCCATTTTATCACAATATAGTAGTTTATTTCTTTTTAATTGCAGGTGATATTATTGTCAAATACAGATGTACTTTTTGCAGAGCATTATTTTTCTGAAATTAATATTAATTGTGGAATATCAAAAACATATTTTTCTTTTAGTTGTCATGCATGTCATTTTGAAAACTGTACCTCACACATTTTTATTGTATATCAGTAAAGTGATTCACAAGCAATAGAATGCAGGAAATGTTTTTCTGTTCTAAATTAACCTTTTGACTGCAATAGTACGTGTGAATTAAATTACACTTTTTGACAAATGTATAGTGAATTTGTTGGCTGACAAATGCGGTATTATCACTATTTGTTGTATTACTGACTGCATTGAGGGTGCTGTATTTTATCGCTATATTTTTTAAAACTAATTCTCCATATTCATGGTATAGTAAAAATTGAGATGTATCGCATATTTTTATAGGTTATTTTAAAGTGATTTATTATCATAAATTTAAATATGACAAACAAAGGCTCTTCTATCTCACTGTATGTGATATATTTTGTAAATTTTTTGTCATTTCACTATGGCTGCCTTTAATCAGTTCAGTTTGTTTTTTACTTTGTATATCTGTAGTACTCACTTGTTTTATAATGCAGTAGACATGCATGTAGGTGAACAATTCTGTAGTATAATGATTCAAAGCTGGAATATAAAAACATGAATTTGTATATAAATACAATATTTTTGAAATTAAAACTTGATGTACAGCTAATTTGAATAAAGTCTACAATGGTTATCTCCTGTGTTTGTATTTATCGCAGGGTTGCTATGGGCGTCATTTCATCAACTCAGACATGTAGCTTCACACCACACCCACATCGTTCCATTCATTTCCAGCCCGCCCCCTATCTTTTGAGATATTGAAATCGTTAAACACTAAATATACACACTAAGGACTGACTATTTTTAACATCTTTTAAGTACTTCTAGGGACTGTTAAGCTAGGATGACCCACACAATGGGCAGCATAGTGTCGGAGATAGTAAATCACCATTGTACCATCTTTTCGTACACAGAGCGGAGATGATGAGGCCAACACCTTGTATTATTGGCGGTGCAATGATGCACATTTAACCTGGATAAAAGTACTATTGTAGAGATTTATTGGCGTGTTCTTTCTTAAACTTCTAGGAATCTGTGCGTAAGGTTAAAAAAAGAACAAATTAAACTTTGATTTTTGTGGTTTCAATTTGTACTTTAAACCAAGACAATATGCAGTTAAGATACAACAGTAGTTTGCATAAAATCTCGCTATTAGAATCAAAGACACTGTTTTAAATGCATTTACCCGTACCCGTAAACTCTTTACCGCGGACGGCCATTAAAAATGTTGTTCATTTTTGGTTGTTAATTTGGAATATATCGTGAACATGCAGCTTTATCTCATCCAGCAAATATACAAGTCAACAATATGCGTGTCTATTTAGAAATATGTCTGGCAATTTTATTTTCTCAGGTGAAAAAAAACTATCAAGCCTTTTCACTAGCACGATATCAGACAAACAGTAGTGAAACGCATGTTCCCAGTAGAAAAAAATTGCATGCAATTTTAGAGCAATGAGAGGATTATGGGTAATGACTGGTAAACTGAACAAATACAGGTTACCTAAATTCTACAGTCAATGAAGGTAAGTGAGCAGAGATGCAGTAAAACCTGTATTAGTGATCACCTATGAGCAGAGATGCAGTAAAACCTGTATTAGTGATCACCCATGAGCAGAGATGCAGTAAAACCTGTATTACTGACCACCTATGAGCAGAGATGCAGTAAAACCTGTATTAGTGATCACCTATGAGCAGAGATGCAGTAAAACCTGTATTAGTGATCACCTATGAGCAGAGATGCAGTAAAACCTGTATTAGTGATCACCCATGAGCAGAGATGCAGTAAAACCTGTATTACTGACCACCTATGAGCAGAGATGCAGTAAAACCTGTATTAGTGATCACCCATGAGCAGAGATGCAGTAAAACCTGTATTACTGACCACCTATGCAACTGTATAAAGACCACTTATTTACTTGATCACACTTTTCAGCAATATTTTTGCAGATTTGCCTTGGCTGAGAGAACAAAATTATAATTAGCATTCCATTTATAAAACTATTTTTAATTAATTTTAGGTCAAACTTATAATTGTCTGGACAAATATATCAAATAAGTTGACGATGCATAAAAATATAATCCTACCGCCATACAAAGACCACCTGTCTATAAAGACCATCTTAATAAAGTTCCTTTGAATGGTTGCTATACACAGGTTTGACTGTCCCTTGG